TATATATATATATATATATATGTATATATATATATATATATATATATATATGTATATAGTCGATATCACATTATAACTATTACTTCTATACCCTTAAAACGTATCCTTTACAAACACTTTATACAACACGTGCCCTGTAACTTGAATTAAAAATCGCCCGCTCTGCGTCTACGCATGTCCCTTTATACCTCTTTTTCTGCCTTTCTTCCTCGTTCTTTCTTTCTTTCTAACGTTTTCTTTCTCTCTCTCCCATATACCCAATCACACACGTACACGCACACGCACACACATGCACCCATGTGAATCCTTGTTCACTCTCTTACCCGTTTATCTTCACTGTGCACATGTAACAACCATGTTAATAATTTAATATTTTCTAACGGTATCTTAGTAAAATGTCATAGTGCGATGTCGAAAACTCGAAAGAATCTAGCGAAAAAATAGTAGCCGCTCGGAGAGTATCAAGCTGATAGGATATCACGGAAAGTGCAACATCTAAGCGACTCAACGCGTTCTCGTCTGCTTCCTCAAGGCATGCCTTGCCGTTATTTATTAACACACGTGCCCGGCACGTTCCGTAATGTTCTGCGCGTTCTCGCGCGCGTGTGTCTCGATACTTTCCTCACGCAGAGAAAATATCGTACGAGGATTCGATCGCGCGTAAGGCGCGTCGGGGCGAGCGACGCGAGAATGTTCTTGGTCGATCCGGGATCCTCGCACGACGCACCAATTTGAGTATGCGGTTTGCAACGGTTTTCTCTATGCACTTAGGAAGGTCTGCTTTCGCATGTTGCTTAAGGATTAGTTTTACGGTAGTATTAATAGTATTAATAGTAATAGTAAATAGTAATAGTAGTAGTGGTAGTACTAGTAGTAGTAATAGTAATAGTAGTAGTAGTAGAGTAGTAATAGTAGTTGTAGTAGTTGGTAATAGTAATTGTATTTAAAAGGAAACACGATCGGAATCGGATCCAAGTGTCTTTACGCGAACTAGACACTTTCTTGCACTCGAATGGATTCGCGTCACGTTGACCAGCACTGAATATAAACAGACTTGCTAGATGTAATTGATGCACGGACTAAGAACTGAAGCACTTCATAAAGCGCCATTTAAAGGCGGAAGTTTAGTCAACCACGGAAACGCGCTTACTTACGAATCAAACGATGTTTTAATGCGCAATCAACAGCCAATTAAATGAATGGCGCTTCCCAATCTCGTTAAAATTAACACTACGCGTCGATGAACACATTTTCTTTGATTTTGCTCAGAGAGAACCCACTCACTCGTTCGTCGAACCTGCTCGTAATAACGACTCACCGCAACGAAAACGAAGGAAACCAGAGAAACGAGAGAACGAGTAAACTGTCAGCGCCGGTCAACGTCTCGTGTAATTTCATTACCGTCATCGCCCCTGTCGGTGGATCTCTTATTCACGTATCAACAGCAACATCCGTTCCGACCGTACTCTGCAAAACTGGTGCGGCGGTCAGCCGTTTTGTTCGAGATGTGATTATCGGTGTCTGTGAATCGCGTCGTTCGATTTGAGCGACGTACGGAAACTCTCGGCGGCGTCTGTAATAATTTGACGAGCGCGGCGTTTCTTTAGTCAGCGCCAAACGCCATTTCACTTCAGTTCGTGATCGTAATTTGCGACTTACATGGGCAAAATTGTCAGGGAGAACGAAACGTGGCGAGAAACGAGAGGGTTTGCCGAGCTTTATACAACTTTCTGCCCCGACACGATACCATTTTGATTCTTTACAGAGTTTATGCTTTGCAGCCACACACAATTTCACATCGGTATTCCAGGGTAACGGAGAGACGTACAAGCGACACGTGTGGTGTACGTGGCAGACACCTTCTGCTCACTCGTCGAAACGAAACGCCGGACAGCACACCGTGTCAGATTGGATTCCGTGAGCGCAACAAAATAAAATGATAACGCTATCCTATCGTTAGTAGAGGCGAAGAGAGTCCTGCTTTAGAGAAAAATCGGCGAGCGGTCAGGCCACCTCATCTAGGGGTAACGTTATATACATATATATATATATATATATATATATATATATATATATATAATATATAATATATATATATATATATATAATTATATATATATATATATATATTATATATTATATATATATATATATATATATATATATATATATATATAT